GGCTAAACTATAATACATAAACACAAAAGTGCAGAGTATAATTCCAGAGTGCATTCGCATACTTCCTGGCCTGGGAACGCCTTGGAGTTCCCCCGGAGGAGCTGGAAGAAGTGGCTGGGGAGAGGGAGGTCTGGGCCTCCCTTCTGAAGCTGCTGCCCCCGCGACCCGACCCCGGATAGGCGGAAGAAAATGGATGGATGGATGGATGGATGGATGGTCTGTCGTACGATAAGTAGCCACAACCCTTTTGCAAAACTTAAGACGTATCTATCTTATTGATCTATTTGTGGCTAAAACTTCAAAGTTTGGGCCAACAAGCATGTTTTTATGGCCGCTTTAGGAAGGTTTTAAAGATAAAAATATAAGGCAAATCATAGCTGGATATGTGACTGTGCATCAAGGCAGTAGTTGAGTGAGAACTCCTATATTGGTCCAGCAACACCGCACACCTCCAGGTGCTTTTAACTGTTCTAACTGGAGGAGAGTGGGAGGAACAAAAGTCTAAAAAAAGGAAAGAAMGATTGAGCAAACAYTAGCAGTAAGAAAAAAAACAGTATTGCAGTGTAGCTTTTGCCTCTGCTCAGCGAGACAGGTGAATAATCCTTTTTTTTACTATAAAAAACTAATGCAAACATGTTTAGTCCAGGTATGATGACTAACAAATTCTTCTTACATTTTTATAAAAAGGTATCCAAAAGCAGAGTGCTAGACTGATGAATCACTCTGGCAAAAAGCGAGGACTGGTTGAGTTTATCAAAGCTGAAACACATTAGTGAGTGGACAAGGTAGAAAATAATGGAAGGGAATGTGATTAAAGGTGAACTTTGATAATCTGACGACCTTCTCCGCGTGTCCAGGGGCTTGAGAGGAAAAGCAAGCAGAGAAAATCTGCAACAAAAGCAACACAAGAGCTAAATCAAACATGGCCGCGCGCCCAATTATTTACCCATTTCACACCTCTTGACACAAATCGCAAGTTATATAAACACATTAGCTGAAGTGCACGCCCACTAACTTACACTTGCACTTGTGCCTGAGCAGGTGCCTATGCCTCATTAGCCTACATCCCACAAGGATAAACGGTGCTCCCTGCAAGTACCGACTTAATCCTGCAGAGCCTCAGTCATCAGGGGATGATACGCTCTGCGAACGGCCGTCACACAAACACACGCTTGTCCCGTCTTCCTGCCCCTTTGCACAAAAGCCAAAGCAGAAACCCTAAAGCCAACCAGTGACC